CAGTTCCAGTTCACGTCAAACTAAAGTAAATTGGGCAATTACAGTTCCAGTTCACGTCAAACTAAAGTAAATTTGGCAATTACAGTTCCAATTCACGTCAAACTAAAGAAATTGGGCAATAACAGTTTCCAGTTCACGTCAAACTAAAGTAAATTCGGCAATTACAGTTCCAGTTCACGTCAAACTAAGTAAATTCGGCAATTACAGTTCCAGTTTACGTCAAACTAAAGTAAATTGGGCAATTACAGTTCCAATACACGTCAAACTAAAGTAAATTGGGCAATAACAGTTACAGTTCACGTCAAACTAAAGTAAATTGGGAAATTACAGTTCTAGTTCACGTCAAACTAAAGTTAATTGAGCAAATACAGTTCCAATTGACGGCAAACTAAAGTAAATTGCGCAATTCCAATTATAGTTCACGCCAAACTAAAGTAAACTGGGCAATTACAGTTCCAATTCACGTCAAACTAAAGCAAATTGCGCAATTACAGTTCCAATTTACGAAGAACTAAAGTAGATTACGCAATTACAGTTCCAATTCACGTCAAAATAAAGTAAATTGAGCAAGTACAGTTCCAGTTCATGTCAAACTAAAGTATATTTCACGTAAAACTTACAAGTTTCCAATCGTAAATCCTCTCTTTGAAGTGCTATTGAGAAAAACAAAAATGTTGATAAATTTAAAATAATAATAATTGTATTTATGGCTGACGATATGAGAAGGAGAATATCAGATTGGAAACGTCAAAGATTAGAAAGATTGAATAAGAAAGGAATTCGTTTTAAAAAAGAACTTTAGAGGTTATTTCAAGTGAATCGCAGATTTATGTACAGTACGGTTGAGAATTGCAGATTTATGTACGGTACGGTTGAGAATTGCAGATTTATGTACGGTACGGTTGAGAATTGCAGATTTATGTTCGGTACGGTTGAGAATTGCAGATTTATTTACGGTACGGTTGATAACTGCAGATTTATGTACGGTACGGTTGAGAACTGCAGATTTATGTACGGTACGGTAGATAACTGCAGATTTATGTACGGTACGGTTGAGAATTACAGTGTACTGTGTACATTGTGGGCAGAATATGTCAACAATAATGAACACTTTTTTTTTAGGTAATTACGTCAGAAAAATAGAAGAGGTGCATTTTTTTTGTTACAAATGTGAACCACAGAAAATAAAACAAACTCCGAAAATACTGGGTCTCGACATTAATCGGTCGCAAGGGGGAAAAATGCAATTTAAAATAAAATTTCAAGCAAGTTTTGAAAAGTTGAGAAAAAATATTTAAAAATGATATTACTGTCGCCTTTTTTTTGAGTGTCCATACATTTTCAGCTTTACATTCCCGATTCACATCGGTACCCTTTAACGGATTGGCAATGTGGTAGATATCGTTGTTTTTTTTGTCTGAAAAATAAAAAAATGTCAAAACTTTATAAATTTTTGCAGAGAAAAGGAATTATCTAAGTAGAAGCATAATATGATAGTTTTTGCTCAGACGGGGGGTATTGTTGTAAAATAAAATGATAACTTAAATCGACAAAGAAGTAAATCAAAGTTTAAAAATCACAAAAGTTTTTGTTATTCACCAATACTGTTTTTGTGCAAAGTTCTTTTCAACTCTGGAAGATTTTGTTCAGGTGAGAAGATTGTTTTTATAATATTAAAATATTCTTAAAATATTTAATCTAATTCACGAATTTTTTAAAATACACAAGAACATGCTCAGCATATCTGGTTTGATGTTCAGAAAACATGCTCAGCATATCTGGTTTGATGTTCAGAAAAAATGCTCAGCATATCTGGTTTGATGTTCAGAAAATTAATTCTAATGCACAGGATTGTGTTCAAAGTCATACACACAGAGGAAAATGTTCAAAAGCATAGAATTTTGTTAAAATGCACATAGTTTTTCTCCTAATCCTTTAAAGGACCAAGCTTGCTTAGAACATCTAAACCCTTCTCTTCATATTCTGCCTTCGTCATCCAGAACTCCTCTTTGTCCTGAACAAGAACAGTTTTTAGTTTCAAATCTCAACACCAGATGTCTATAAATGTTGGGTGGGTCCGAAACAAGCTCATAAACTTAGGTTTATTATTCAACCAAATTTGTATTGGCGCGCTGTGCAAATATTCCTAGTATAGTCGGTAAAAAATCTGAAGTTGATCAAGCATTGATCTCCATCTTATACAGACTTACAGATTGATTTAATTTCTCTTAGATATCTCTTAGTGGTCCAACCTAGCAGGGTAACTTAAATTGAGGGATTAATTGCTTATCATCAAAATTAAATGTGCCAACATTGGATATCGAGATCAAGGGTTCAAGATAAACTATACTTCACTCAATAGTTCCGATCTCAGGTTTCCTTTTTCACTATTTCTATAATTCTTGTATTTTATACATATATATTTTTATATATATTTTATACATATATATTTTGGTTGATACTAATTGAAAATAAGATGTGTAAAACAGCTAATTTACCTTCATAACATCTGCTAGAACAGCTCCACCGATGAACACCATATCCTTCCTTCTGGGAGGATCCTCGATCCTGATCTTAAACTTAGCCAGGCGTCCAGTATCACCCTGATCAATTAGGTATTTTTAGATCAAGCTTAGCGTATCAATAAGTGATTCATTGATAAATTAAGTATTCTCAGATCACGATTTATGGATAAATTAGGGATTCATTAATCAAACAGGTATTTTAAAATCACGATTTATGGATCAATTAGTGATTCATTGATCAATAAGGTATTCTTAGGTCACGATTTATGGATCAATTAGGGATTCATTGATCAAACAGGTATTTTTAGATCACGATTTATGGATCAATTAGTGATTAATTGATCAATTAGGTGTTCAAAGATCACGATTTATTGATCAATTAGCGATTCATTGATCAATTAGGTATTCTCAGATCATGACTTATTGATCAATTAGGTATTTTTAGATCAAAATTAATGGATCAATTAGGGATTCATTGATCAAGTATTTTTAGATCACGAATTATGGATCAATTAGTGATTCATTGATCAATAAGGTATTCTTAGGTCACGATTTATGGATCAATTAGTGACTCATTGATCAATAAGGTATTCTCAGATCACGATTTATGGATCATTTAGTGATTCATTGATCAATTAGGTATTCTAAGATCACGATTTATAAATTAATTAGTGATTCATTGATCAATAAGGCATTCTTAGATCACGATTTATGGATCAATTAGTGATTCATTAATCAATTAGGTATTCTTAGGTCACAATTTATGGATCAATTAGTGATTCATTGATCAATAAGGTATTATTAGGTCAAGATTTATGGATCAACTAGTGATTCATTGATCAATAAGGTATTCTCAGATCACGATTTATGGATCAATTAGTAATTCATTAATCATACGTGATTCATTGATCAATAAGTGATTTGTTGGTTGATTAGTAATTAAATGACCAATTAGTGATTAATCGATTAGTTAGTGATTAATTAACCAAATAGTGATCCACTGCTCAATAACTTATTCATAGATCACTTAATGTTCCATGGTTCAATTATTGATTCAGATTCATTGAGCATACAGGGGTTTATTGATCAATTATTAATTCATGGATCAATTAATTATTTATTGATCATTAGTGATTCAATTAATCAGTCATTGTTTCAATTATTAATTAGTAATTAACTGCTGAATTAGTCTTTCATTGAACCAATTATGAGAGAACAAATTTTTTATCATTTTTTATGTTTATCTTTATTTTCCTCCCATCATCTCCATTCTCCAGACTAATTTACTGCACACTTACCTTCAGTACACGTTCCAGGTACAGCTGTTTAATTTCCCTTTCTAGCCTAGAGGGTAATCCAGGGTACATAGTTGATCCACCAGACAGTACTAAACATACAGTACATACAGTACATAGTTAATCCACCAGACATTACTAAAAATACAGTACATAAAGTACAAAGTTGATTCACCAGACAGTACTGAACATACAGTACATACATTACCAGTGCTTAGGATCCATTTGATTTTGATGCAGATCCGGATCCTGGATCCGCACTGGAAAAAAATGGATCCGGATCTGGATCCAGGTTATTTTTTTAAGATTATCTGAATTGTTTAAACAAAAAATACTTTTAAAATTTTTTGTTTTATTTTTTTTCGCTTGTTTTTATCTTAAAACTTGATGAACCATTCAGAAATAAGGAAATATTTTATAATCTCTCTTTATTCAAAAGTTCAGATTTGAGTTTTAGATTAAAAAAGGTTTTTTTTTGCAGTTTTTGGTTGATATTTTACCCGTTGGATCCTAAGAACTGTACAGTACATAGTTGCTTCACCAGACAGTACTAAACATACAGTGCATACAGTACATAGTTGATTCACCAGACAGTACTAAACATACAGTGCATACAGTACATAGTTGATCCACCAGACAGTACTAAACATACATTACATACAGTACATAGTTGATCCACCAGACAGTACTAAACATACATTACATACAGTACATAGTTGATCCATCAGACAGTACTAAACATACAGTACATACAGTACATAGTTGATCCACCAGACAGTACTAAACATACATTACATACAGTACATAGTTGATCCACCAGACAGTATTAAACATACAGTATATACAGTACATATTTGATCCACCAGACAGTACTAAACATACAGTATATACAGTACATAGTTGATCCACCAGACAGTACTTAACACACAGTATATACAGTACATAGTTGATCCACTAGACAGTACTAAACATACAGTATATATAGTACATAGTTGATCCACCAGACAGTACTAAACATTCAGTATATACAGTACATAGTTGATCCACCAGACAGTACTAAACATGCAGTTTACACAGTACATAGTTGATCCACCAGACAGTACTAAAAATACATTATATACAGTACATAGTTGATCCACCAGAGAGTACAGTACATACAGTACATAGTTGATCCACCAGACAGTACTAAACATGCAGTATACACAGTAAACCATAGTCAATATAAGATCCACTAAAATGAAACTATTCAAATAAAAAATCACTTACAATTTGTGTACAGTCCTTTTAAATAAGATGAACTAAAGTTTACCTATATGCTTGTAAAGTTCTGGTCTCAGCTGAACTAAAGTTTACCTATATGCATGTAAAGTTCTGGTTTCAGCTGAACTGAAGCTTACCTATATGCATGTAAAGTTCTGGTTTCAGCTGAACTGAAGCTTACCTATATGCATGTAAAGTTCTGGTCTCAGCTGAACTAAAGTTTACCTATATGCTTGTAAAGTTCTGGTCTCAGCTGAACTAAAGTTTACCTATATGCTTGTAAAGTTCTGGTCTCATATCAATATCAGCACTTTGTATAGCAGTAAATACCATTTCAGCCACACCTCAACAATAAGGCTTGTTAATTTTCAACAATTTCTCAATTTAAATTCTAAAAAAAAATTTTAAATGGGCCAAATTTCTTGAGAAACCCAAATTTATGAATGAAAACGAATTAGTTCGACCCTTCTTAAGTAGAATTTTTTGTGTAATGCGCTGAAAACAAATTTTTTTCAGAATTTAAGAATCAGGACCTCAGTGTGAGATATTTAATAAATTAATATTGAATTTTGAAATTTTTTTCTTTCTCATCCATGACAACGACCAAGACCATGACCAGTAGCACGACCATGACCACGACCATGACCATGACAATGACCATGACAATGACAAAGTTCACCTTGTCCTTCAACATTAATAAGATGAGGTTGGAAGAGCGCTTCAGCAGCTTCAAACCGTTCCCCACCAACCTGAAAATGTTAAATCCAGCTCATGCTGCAGAGAAGTCTTTAAAAACACAAAACAAATTGCACAGCAATAATATCCAAAAGTATTCGAGGTTTTAATGTCAGAAATGTATAATATATATAAAATATATAATATAAATAAATATATATTTGTCTGTTAAGTTTTGTACCCAATCTTAAATGAAACTCGAAAAATCGGCGAATTTGTAAGTTGAAATTGTTTATTGTTTAATGACAGATTAATAATTTACGAAATTATCATTTTTTATCCAGAATAAAAAGGACCCTAGGGGTGTTGATTTGATGTATGTCTAATTTAATAAAATCTAGAAGTTCTACCTTAATTACTCTACCATCAGGAAGTGTGTATTGTTCCACAAGAAATGTTGTCTCTAAAACACAAAATTATTGAGATTCAAGATTTGAATTCATCTGAACACCAACGCTGAGATTTTAGAAGAAAAACACGTCCTATTGTAAACTCATGATTTCTTCAAAACCGAGGATTTGGTTGGGTTGTCCTCCGATTGGAACTGATTCGATTAATGAGAGACTATTTTCAAAGCTCGATTGCATATGCAGATTGATCAATAGACAAGAACCAGATTTACAGATGTAAATTACGAAAAATCAAACTTTATGTTTATATAATAAGATGAAAACCGCATCCAATGGTAATGTAAAAACGAAATCTGGACCATTTGGTCCTTTTCTTATTGTATGATTATTAAAATAAACCTAGACAAATTTGACACTACTGATAATTCCCGAGATTTGAAATGTAAAAATATAATTTACAATCTCCTTCTTCCATTAAGACCAAGGCTAAAAAGTCTTGGCCTTGAGTCGAGCCTTCACTTGGTCCTAATAAAGTAGGATTTCTCTCCAAATTTAACTGAAAAGAACTGTCAAAATTGTCAAATATCAGTTCGCTTCTGATGGCTTCCAATCGAATTGTTACTGTTTACAGTGTAGAAGAACCTGGTATAGATCCCACATATTTATATATTTTTTGAAAAGAAATCACTGGGGTTATTCATGGCCCCAGGCAATCCCACCCCTCAGCACTCTGCTAAGATTATCTTTATGATAGATGGGATTTTTTGTTGGTTCGTTTAAGATGTTTATTGTTCATCATATCTAAAAATTCTATTCTCTATTATAGCATCTTATTACATTTAGAAAAATCTTTTACTCAAGAGACAACAAATAATAACCAAATAACCATTTAATTATTATTTTTTTAAATCAGTGTTGATGATTCAGGGGTATACATTTTACATTTCTCTTCTAACATAACTTTTCCCTCTGAGTGTATTAGGATTGTTAGCGCGGAACAAACTTATTTCACAGTTTTTTTTTGTGTCTTCAACTGGGGAAAATTTTCCAAAACGAGGGAAATTAAAAAAAAACAATGGGGAGGGGGAAATTTTTCAAAATATATATTACTGCTATTGAGTTTTGAGTTTGTATCATGGAAAACTGGAACCCTACCTTGTGCTAACTTCTGCTCAGCATGGATATCATATCCAACATAACATAGCTTCTCCTTCATCATCCTAGATCATCGATCAAAATCAAAATCAAAATCAAAATCAAAATCAAAATCAAAATCAAAATCAAAATCAAAATCAAAATCAAAATCAAAATCAAAATCAAATTAATTTAATGTTTACATTTATATAATAGTAATGACGACATCTTTAACTTTAGGATTACTCAGCGGCAAATGCTCACATGGCGCAAATTTCAAATATATAAAGTATTCACAGAATCAAAAGTTACCTCGGATCCGGATCCGGATCCGTATCAGAGTCAGGATCCGGATCCGCATCAAAATGATACGGATCCGAAGCACTGTAAAATACTATGAATAAATCAACCAATCAACCTATCGATCAATCAACTATTTACCTGACTGTTTCGAAATCTGCTGTATGGTTGAAAGCGTATCCTCTCAAAAGCAGAAGTTTGATCAAATATTCAGTAATATTTCGACCTAAACAAGTTAATTTAATTAAACAGAAAATAATTTTTTTTTTAAAAAGTTCATTTTAGATGAAATTGCTACAAAGTCGCAAAAATTTTTTTTTGGCAGCTGTTTAGATTTAGTCTGAAACATTCATAAATAAGGCGGTATATTACTCTCAATAATATTACATTTTAGAAAAGTTTTTAAAAACTTTATTTTACTAAAAAATATGTCAGCGTGACGTCAATACTCAATTTACAACGGTTACAATACAATACAGCTCTGTCAGATCAGGAATAATAATTAGATATCCATGTTTTTGTTAATTGAAACTGTTTATTTTCCTTTCTTGTCTTTCTGCAAAAAACATGCGCATTTCAGGCTTGTGAGAATAAATGGAGAAATTCACAGAAATAAGTACTTTTCGAGTCAGAAAGAAGACATTATCTTTTACAATATTTATCATATTAAGGTTTCAAGGGTAACGTTGTAAATAGGACATTGCTATTTTTGCAAAATTACGCTTACAGTCCCTTTAATATTTTATAATAACGGGAAATACTTCAGAAACCTGCAATATCAAGACGTTTGGTGAGATGAGGTAGAGAAAATCCGTCATAAACTGGACAAATATGCGTCACTCCGTCTCCAGAATCAACAACAACACCGGTCAATAAACCCTACGCATAATATAATATGAATAACCGGTCATTAACTGTGCAAATATGCGTCACCGGTCAATAAACCCTACGCATAATTTAATTTGAAAAATCCGTCATAAACTGGACAAATATGCGTAACTCCGTCTCCAGAATCACATCAGTAATCCTGCAGGCAAAATAAATTTCGTCATTCACTGTCTGTCTTTTCGTCAGAGGAAATCTCTCAGAAAGAAGACGAAACAAAAAAAATTGACAGAAAGAAAGAAATAATGAATTAACGGAAGGAATGAAAATAATAGAAATAAAAATTGAATGAAGAAAGGGAAGCTATAAACAAATATGAAGAAACGGAAGCTGTAAAAAAATGAATAAAGAAAGGGAAGCTATAAAAAATGAATGAAGAAAGGGAAGCTATAAAAAATGAATGAAGAAAGGAAAGCTATAAAAAATGAATGAAGAAAGGAAAGCTATACAAAAATGAATGAAGAAAGGGAAGCTATAAAAAATGAATGAAGAAAGGGAAGCTATAAAAAATGAATGAAGAAAGGGAAGCTATAAAAAATGAATGAAGAAAGGGAAGCTATAAATAAATGAATAAAGAAAGGGAAGCTTTAAAAAAATGAAAGAAGAAAGGGAGGCTATAAAAAATTGAATGAAGAAAGGGAAGATATAAAAAAATGAAAGAAGAAAGGGAAGCTATAAAAAATGAATGAAGAAAGGGAAGCTATAAAAAAATTAATGAAGAAAGGGAAGCTATAAAAAAAAGAATGAAGAAAGGAAAGCTATAAAAAAAAGAATGAAGAAAGGGAAGCTATACAAAATGAATGAAGAAAGGGAAGCTATAAAAAAATGAATGAATAAAGGAAAGCTATAAAAAAATGAATGAAGAAGGGGAAGCTATAAAAAATGAATGAAGAAAGGGAAGCTATACTAAAATGAATGAAGAAAGGGAAGTTATACAAAAATGGAAAAAGAAAGGGAAGCAATAAAAAAATGAATGAGGAAAGGGAAGCTATAAAAAATGAATGAAGAAAGGGAAGCTGGCAGAATGTATATTGAAAGAATAAACAAAAGAAACGAAAGAAATGAAATAAAAAATATCTTTTAAAAAATTAATATAAATAATATATGTCTTAACAAATGCAATAATCTAAAATAGAAGATCCAAACTTTTGTTTTGTGAATCTTGTGATTCCTCTTCGATATCCCATGGTGGTCATACCCTGCAAGGATAACTTTAATTGAGGGATCAAACATTTATCTTTATTTAAAGTACCCACATTAGATATCGAGATCAAGGGATCAAAATTAACAAAACTACACCAAAAGCTTCTAACCTGTGCGTAAAGTGTAAGTACTGCTTGAATAGCAATGTACGCTCCTTCAAATCCATAATGCTCAAACATCACCTAAACAATTCGAAAAATAAAATTTATTTTACATTTAGAAAATGAAATTTATTGAAAAACTTCTCACCAGTGCTTAGGATCCGGATCCGCAAGATTTTGGTTTCCTGGATCCGGATCCAAGGGGCATAATATCAACCAAAAACTGCAAAAAACACTTTTTACTCCTAAAACCAAACTCTGAACTTTTGAAAAAAAAGGAGATTATAAAAATTTCCTCATTTCTGAATGGTTTATCAAGTTTTAGAATAAAAATAAAACAAAAATTTTAAAATTATTTTTTGTTAAAAAATTCAGTAAATTTTAAAGAAATGACCAGATCCAGATCCCTTTTTTTCCAGTGCGGATCCAGGATCCGGATCCGCATCAAAATTAAATGGATCCTAAGCACTGCTTCTCACATTTGGTTTATACTATTTCACAAAAAAACACCATTTGTAAGAAAACATTTTTCAATTTTTTTTGGTGAAATCGAAAATTAAACTTACCAAAAATTGTTAACTAAAATTTTTTTTTATTCTTTAAATAACCTCCGAATTTAGGCGGCAAAGTGGAAGATTAAAATTTACAAAACAATGTTTAAGATATTAGGAAAACGGTGCTATCTCTCTAGCAGATGTTTAAATACATAAAGGTTTAAATGTTACCATTGTAAATCGGACTTGTCACGTTTATGAACGTAGGGACACTTTAAATTACGTCTACAGTCCCTTTAAGTACGAGTGATTACCTCGATCATCTTCTGCCTGTTCCTGAGAGGGTTCATGGGGGGCTCCGTCAGCATAATCTTGCATTCTTTAGGATCTATATTCATCTTTTCTGGACCAAACGTGTAGTCCTAAACCAATCAACTAATCAAGCAATCAAGCAATCACGCAATCAAGCAACCAATGAATAAATGCATCAATCAATTTATCAGGCGTCTCTGCATAATCTTGCATTCTTTAGGATCTATATTCATCTTTTCTGGACCAAACGTGTAGTCCTAAACCAATCAACCAATCAAACAAACAATCAAGCAATCAATTGATTAATGAATCAATCAGTTGTCAATTTATCAGGCGTCTCTGCATAATTATGCATTCTATAGGATGTATGTTAATCTTCTTAGGACTTAACGTGTCGATATCCATCAATCCATCAATCAATCCATCAATCAATCCATCAATCAATCGACCAACCAACCAACCAACCGAACAATCAATTTGAACGGATCACAGACTTCATTTTTTTTCTGAAGTCCTTCTAGACTTGGAAAGTTTATATACCAAAATGAATTTTTACTTATTCAGAAAGTTTTCAAGACTGGTAGTTGTTAAAAGAAGGAAAATGAGTGTCAACGATTGAAGAGGAGGAGGAGTGGGGGTCCAATAAAATGTAAATACAATTTAGATTACTCACCCAGACATGTTGCATATCCTCCCAGCTCCGGACTATACCGTTCTCCATCGGATATTTACACTCCAGCATGGATCGGAGTTTACTGGCATCATCCCCAACCATTATATCTTTCACCTGGACATCAAGGAAACTCAACACTCGTATTTATTAATACAAATTTAATATTTGATTTTACCAAGCGTTGAAACAGCATGGATTTACAACATGGAAACAAAGAGAAACTGCCTATTAACAGTTTATCTTTGTTTACTTGTAATTTGAAAAAAAATCAAAACATAAATATAGAAGTAATCTTCATTGTAATGATATAAACGCCGACCTCTGTATATCTTTGCAACCTGAGGTCGTAGATCTTCAAACTATGAATTTTATTAAATCAAATAGCTGCTATACTTTAAAATGTCTGAGTCATAACTACTTTTACTGTTCTACATACGTGTACTATACAGTTAAATATTACTTCTACGTTATAAATATGTGTACTTCATCGCAGAATATTACCTCTATGTCATGAATGCGTGTACTGTAGTGTAAACGTGTACTGTACCGCATTTTTTACATCTACGGCGTTAATGCGTGTACTGTTCTGTAGAACAGTACCTATATGTCATAAATACGTGTACTGTACTGCAGAATATTACCTTTACTTATCAATTCATGTAATGTACTGCAGAATATTACCTCTACGTCCTCAATACGTGTAATGTACTGCAAATATTTCCTCTACTTATCAATTCATGTAATGTACTGCAGAATATTACCTCTACTTATCAATTCATGTACTGTACTGCAGAATATTACCTCTACTTATCAATTCATGTACTGTACTGCAGAATATTACCTCTACTGATCAATTCATGTAATGTACTGCAGAATATTACCTCTACGTCCTCAATACATGTACTTTACTGCAGAATATTACCTCTACTTATCAATACATGTAATGCACTGCAGAATATTTCCTCTACTTGTCAATTCATGTAATGTACTGTAGAATATTACCTATACGTCCTCAAAAAGTGTACTGTACTGCAGAATATTACCTCTACTTCTCAATTTATGTACTTTACTGCAGAAGTGCAGAATATTACCTCTACGTCATCAATTCTTGTGCTGGCGCGGATCATAGGACGTCCAACCATACTTGGGAAAATATGATCAGGGAAGTTTGAACCTGCATATCCACACTTTACAAAACCCTGAAATATTTTGGATGAGCAGCGTCCATTGTTTATAATTCTCATTTGAGGCACCAATCTATCTAAGTTCTTCTGGATCTCCCCCCCCCCCTATCGAAAAAGAGGAAGGGCTCCAATGATTTAATATAATAGATAGGATAGGTTGGGTTAAAAGAGGGGTTCCGTTCTAGTATACGACTTTTGTCCCCCTCCCCCCTCCGCCTCCTATCAATTATGAACATGACCTAGATTTCAACTAATTTTAACAAAAAATATTTATTTTGTATTATTTAAGGGTTAAGTAAGGTAAGGAAAATTTGTGGGTCGAGTGCTGCAGCTAGAACAGCTAGGGGTCTGGGCGCTGCGACCACATGACCAACTTTATCCATTTGTGGGGGCCAAAAATCATTCTCTAGGAAATTACCAAAAACTGGTTGCTTTATTAAAGCAGAATAGGAAATCGGGTTCGCAGCATATCAAGAAACCAACAAATATTGTATATTACCGTTCCATTGTCGCAAACTACCACTTTACGGCCTTTAGCGTCCATTTCACGATCTGAAATTGTATAACAGTATATGTAATTTTTTGGAAGCAAATTTAAGGAGCGATGCATTGAAGCATTACATACGACAAACCTAGTGAGGAGGGGGTGGGTGTAGCAAGGCATTTACCCCCTCCCACACTGTTAAGTCTGTGCAAAAAGTGCATATTCTGCAGACTTTTCAATAACAGCCCGGGTGGGCGGCTTAAATATTTTCTTATCAACATTAAATATTCAATGCCCCGTACCATTTTCTAGATATGTCGTCTTCGTTCGATTCACAATTTAACGTCGTTTTGCGTCCTCCGTGGTGAATTATAACTTTTACCGCCCTTTTACCAACATTACCGACTATATGATTCCTCACCAGAGGGAGGTTAAGTCCCTTGGGACAATTAAGTAAAATAACCATCCCGCTTTGTGAAATTGTTAGGAAAAAATTCGTACATTTTCATCTCAAAAGACGATAAAATCGTGTACAACTATGTATACATAAAAAAATGTTCTATTAGACTTATCAAATTTTTCAAAATGATTCATTCTTCTTAAATTTGTCCCCCAAATCGTAGTTTAGACCCATTGAAGCGGTATAATTTGATGTGGGACACCCAGTAGTTGAAAATAATTATTAATTTTTAATATTTACCTAGTTTGTCATGCTGTCGCTTTGAAGACAGGAAATTAAAAATTTATCAATTTAAAAAGAGAAAATCAAGAATATGGTCGATACACACACCATTGTGAATCGGACTTGCCAAGATATACAAAGGTTCCCTTGGCAGACGGGCTGTTCTCTGTATCGAGGAATCTCACAACTTTTAGGAATCGCTCTCATCCAATAAATAACTAATTCTTTAACTCGTTAAATTTGATTACAGTTCTTACATATCTAGTTAAATTTGATTACAGTTCTTACATATCTAGTTAAATTTGATTACAGTTCTTACATATCTAGTTAAATTTGATTACAGTTCTTCCAAATCTAGTTAAATTTGATTACAGTTCTTCAAAATCTAGTTAAATTTGATTACAGTTCTTACATATCTAGTTAAATTTGATTACAGTTCTTCAAAATCTAGGTAAATTTGATAACAGTTCTTCCAAATCTAGTTAAATTTGATTACAGTTCTTCCAAATCTAGTTAAATTTGATTTCAGTTCTTCCATATCTAGTTAACCACATAACAATGTAGGTAAATTCAAGAACTCCATTTGTAACAGGGTATTTCCAATTTTTAACGATACCATTAAAACCTGGGTCAAAATATGTCCTTGAATTCTTTGTAAAAACTGAGAATTGCGGGTTTTCTACAAAAGTGGGTTGCAGATTTATGCAGACAGACAAATAATTACTCTTCAGATGGGAAAAAGTCGTTATCTTCCTCTTTAATGCACAGATAATGGTGTAAAGGGTAATCCTGAATGGGATTGGACAACCGCAGTTACGTGCCATGCCGCAATGGATTGTAAGAATAGATATGAGAGAATTTTTCCCTCCGTTTTTGCGATCAATATATTCTATTGTCGATTTATTTTGATATTGAATAAAGTTGTTAAGAAGATTGTAAGAAGAAAGATTAGTATATATTTTAGGGTTAGGTTAGGCTCAGAATTTTCTTGGCCGCGCGCCGCGGCTAGGACAGACTACGGGGCCGAGTGCCACGGCTAGAACGGGCTCTCTGTCTTATAATTCATTGCGGCATGCGTGCGTAACTGCGGTTGGCCGCTACCCTTCTGAATGATTATGCTTGAAATTACGTCGACAGATTCTTTGTTGAAGATAATACAAATGTTAGTTTGCGACATTTATTTATTTCTTACAATAAATTAAATTTTGTGTTCTGCCTCTTAACAGTACTGGCAAATGATTAATTTACATGTACATTGTACAATATATCATGTATATTGTACAATATAATAAACGTAGAAAAGGTGAAAAATCACAAGATCGCGGCGCGCGTGTAAGCACACCATAATATTTCTGCTGTAACCCAGCAGAAAAGTAAAAAAAGGACAAATATGACTTAAATCGATAATAAAATAATCATCAGTGTTTTATTGTGTTAAATATTCTGTGTTTATGGAGCTGATGGTATCACGGGCAGTACAGCATACATTCCCTTTAATAATATATACATTCAATACTTAAAAGTGGATATTAACAAGCATTATAGAGAATGGATGACAGAATAAATTAGTTTGTGGGTTACAGAATGAATAAATAAATATATGAGTAAATTGAGGAATAAATAAATAAATGAATAAATGAATAAATGAAAGGATGCAGGAATAAACAAAAAGAAGAGGATGAATAAATAAATAAAGGAAATAAAGAATAAATGCATAAATGAAAGGATGAATAAATTTATGAAAGGATGGGTGAACAAATGAATGAATGAATTAATGTATGATTAAGTGAACAAATAAATGAATATATTCCTGTATCTAATCTGAATGAATGAATGAATGAGTGAATGAATGAATAGCAGTATAAATGAATAAATGAATATATTCCTGTATCTAATCTGAAGGTCTCTTCTCTCCGTTCTTCTTTGTGAACTCCTCTGCTGCTTTCATAAACTTCTTCTTATCCCGAGTATACTCCTCTAAAATCAAATAAAAAAGTTAAAAAATACTGATATCTTTCAATTTTTGGCTGCACGCCTAAATTGTTATATGATTTCCAATGGACACTAACGACCAGTAAAGATTTCTAATGACCTTGAAGAATAGAAACTGTTTAAACTTTAGCTTTATGCATGTCAAACGAAAGCTAGGAACCCAGGCAATAAAGTAGAAGCAACGAATCCATGTGTTTGACCTTCTTATGACCTCTTACGACAGAAATATATGATATATTACCTGCTAGGTCTGCTCTAAGAGGATGATCAGGCTCAGGTTCATTGACAAGGTTCACCAAAGCTTGAATAACCTTAACAAATAAAATAATAAAGTAGGGCACTTTGCGCCACACTAGTCTTGCGGATTTTTCTTTATAAAATCGTGTATTCTCAAAATAAAAAAATGTCAACATTTTTCGTTCCCCGGATACAGACAAACAACCAGAAAGACGAGAAAAGTTGATTTAAAAATATAAATTCTTTTCATCGACGACGACGACGGGCAAGATCTTTTTTTTTAAACTATTCTTCTGCGTTGCCTTCAAAATTCTTCCTATTTCTTATCCTTTAAATGTCAGTGAAGTCATTTTTTATTTATACTGGTATTAACTGATATTTTCAAACGCAGGATTTAACGTTCAGCACTACCGTTTTCGAAATAGAAGTTAAACCAGTCGAACTGGGTCAACTCAAACTCTAACATCATAAAAATAAGGCTAAATTGACCTGATCTGTTTTAGTTGCTGGTTTCCAGTTCTCTGCAGCTATAATCGGGAGACAAACCTGACAATATCAATATTTTATTCAGAGCTCAAAACTTATGAATCTGTTCATAACAAGCTTAGCCAATTCTGCCACTCCTTGCAGCATGACTTCGATCATCCCTTTCTTTGAATCATTTCCGAGTTTTCTCAAATTTGGTCGCTCTGCCGGGATCTTAGCGGAACAGAAGATTAATATTTTTTGAAAAACCACTTTTTTCGGTTCGTCTAAAAGGAAAACACAATGTAATAGATCCGGGCTGAAAACTTTATTGCATATGGGGGAGCCTCAAACAGTCCCTATCCCTCGTAATTCAATTTGATTTGATCAATGCATTGTCACGGAATTAAATTTAATCAAAAGTTTACAGTGTAAGTATCAAAGTTCTGACCAAACCAAAAGTTTTAACCTCTGATGAATCTATGAACAAGAGAGAGATGTTTACAGTTGCTTGGCTAGTTCAACTACTTTGCTTGTGTTTTGCCACCCAGATCAAATTAAACCAACTCTCATTTAAGTTGATTTCAATTTCAGGGGCACAAGAATTAACTGAACAGGGGAGTATATTTTCCAAAAAATCATTCCTCTTTGAAAAATCATTGTTACCACCAGATTTTATATTAGTAAGCGATGCGCGGATCGCCCCAATTTTTAAGATTTTTTTGTTGTTGCTGAATTGGGGAAAATAAATTATTTTTTAGCAAAAAGTATCAAAAAGATTAAAAAAAAACTTGTCCCATTTTTAATTCTCCCCAAAAAAATTATCAAAAATCATTAAGTGATTCTGAAAAATATACATCCATGTAGCTGAATCAGCTACTTCTCTCCCGTTCATAAATTCACAACTTTCAGTTCCACCCCCGACACTGAGCTGTGAGGACCTTAACCCTTCCTTACCCTGTTGGCCCCCAATCAGCTGAATCAAATGGCGGGACTAGGAATCTTCTTCAGTCTTCAAACCATCATACAATGAATATAACTGAGCGTATCCTGGGTGTATACCAGGACTTTGTGAAAGCTGGCCTGGATGTTAAGTTAAACCTGTGGAGTAAANAAAAGTGGAATTAATTTGGATTTATTCTCACACGATATCAAACTTTTTTTGGCAAAAAAAGGATTTTGGTGACAAAAAAGTATTAAAATAGGAAAAAAGGCGTTTGCTTGAAATTATAACAAAAAAAATAACAAATTGAGATGAACATATTTTAACAAATTTGGACACACGGGGAATTTTATCTTAATATGAATTCTTAAAAGCTGAATAACCTACCTGTCCTTTCTCATCCACATTCGGGTGATATATTTTAGTTTTAAAGGAAATCTGAAAAGTTTACATTTTCAAAATGGTTCTTTTAAATAACAAGCAAAAAAGTTTATTGTACTTTGGCAAATTTATCTGCATTGATTTCTTTTCAATAAAAGAATTGAACAATGAACATATCGTAAATTAAAATTTTGCAATTGTTTTGTATTTGAAAGCGTTCCTTGGGAGGCTTAAATGGATATTCTGCAGGGAACACTATATCTATCAGGAACGCACCCTGAACAAAACGTTCCATTATTGAAATATTTTGTTCCATTCAGAGTTGGAAGTAAAGTAATTTCTACAATAACACACATTTAGTATTTTTTTAACAGTCAACTCCAAAGTTACAGAAATAATATTAGGTTGGAATTTTACGTGTATGTGTTTTTCGATTTGATATCAGTATTTAAAAAAAAATGTTTGGAATGGAGGGGGGGGGGGGGGGAGGGGTTCTGTGCAGAATAAAAATAGTGTTTTCCCAAAACCATTCTCAATTTTCGAATAGTTTTTTTTTTTAAATGATGGTTACTTTTTTACTTCAGTATTTTCAATCAATTGGAATATTACAGGATTATCAAGTAAGATTGCGCAATGCGCATCACAGAATTATAAATTCATATATTTGAATAAAGTTAAAGTTGCGTATTTCTACCTTATTATATGGGACTGAGTCAGGGACCAGTAGACCCTGCCAGACTAGAAGATTAGACTCATCAACCTTGTAAAGTAAAGATTAGAGTACACAACAGAGTATAGTGAAGTACAGATTATTACATGAGTACAGTACAGATTAGTGTATTAAAAAGAGTAAAGTACAGATTATTAAACTAGGAGTACAGTACAGATTATAATATAATTGATTAGACTCATTAACCTAGTAAAGTACAGATTAGAGTACACAACAGAAAATAGTGAAACACAGATGATTACAGGACTACAGTACAGATTCTAGTATAATTGAATAAACTCATGAACCTAGTTCAGTACAGATTATTACACTAAAAGACAGTCAACCTAGTAAAGTACAGATTAGAGTACACAACAGGGTATAGTAAAGTACAGATTATTACAGGAGTACAGTACAGATTCTAGTATAATTGATTAAACTCATCAACCTAGTACAGTCCAGATTTGAGTATTAAACAGAGTATAGTGAAGTACAGATTATTACACTAGGAGTACAGTACGGATTATAATATAATTGAATAGACTCATTAACCTAGTAAAGTACAGATTACAGTACACTACAGAGAATAGTGAAGTAAAGATTATTGAAGGAGTACAGTACAGATTCTAGTATAATTAAAGTACAATAAAGATTAGTCCAATAGTAATATATTTCAGTACAGATTATAGTACAATATAGATTAGCACAATTGTAATATAGTACAGTACAGCTTAAAGTACAATATTGCTTAGTCCAATAGTAATATAGTTCAGTACAGATTATAGTACAATATAGATTAGTACAATTGTAAAATAGTACAGTACAGCTTAAAGTACAAGCTTTTCTTGGACATATTAGAGAAAAATCACTTTTATACACTTTTCAGGATAAAAGTACAAGATTAGATTAGTCTCGATATTAAGAAAAAGAGAAGATCACGCATTAATCTCGATATCCACCATTCTATAGTTTTTAGCTCAGAGCAGTTATAGGCAAAAAAGAATTAAATTTTAAAAAAAATAGTACAAATAGCAAAGATAATATACGCGGCTTCAGAAATGCATTTCTATTAATAATTATTTCTCCAAAGAACTGTTTGGTTAATTAAAAAATGTTCTGCCCCCCCCTCTCTCTCCTCCCTGAATATCTCTAAATGATTTTAGTCCCGACTTCCTAAGATCCCCCAACTCCTTCTGGAGCCGCCTCGTTGCCGCCATTGTCTAGCTGAAAAATAACATATTTTTAAATCCACAAACACCGTCTTGAATTTATGCGGCCATCTTGGATTTAATTTTTGCGGATTTTTAGATGAAGACAAAAATGCCTTAATGAAAAACGATGTTAATAATTTCAGAAAAAAAGTTGGAAAAATACATGTACGCAGGTACGAGTTAACACACAAATAACATGATCACTGCGACATAATACAGTGAGCATGATGGGGGGGGGGAGTTCTCCTTCTCCATGTATTCCTTCTACTTGGCTCCGTCCTTGGCCTGGATCAGGGTGATGTTGTCCCCCTAGAAAAACAAGTTCATGACTTAGAATTTCCGACAGAAAAAGATATCAGACATGAGATTTACAGCATGAGGGGAATTTATAATCACCTGAGGCCGAATTTTGGTTCCACTTAAAATTGTATCAAATGTACAAGATTTAAGCCGGCGCTTAATTTAAACCGGGGTTTGGTGGATTTAAGCCGCGCGCTCAAATTCTTTAAATTCGGCCTCAGGACAGTCTTCTAAATCGTCTTAATATTTTATTAAAAGAGAAATCGATGACAAATGCTGTCTGGATTTTATTTAATAACTCAGATTGAAAGTTTTTAACTATTAAGTGACAGAAAACGATATCGGAGAAAGAATTTAAAATTATTCTTTAAGTTTTGAATGGGATCTCTATACAGAAAATGTAATAAAAAATGACTCCGAAGAGTCTCTTTAAATTTTTTTTCCTTCCATATTTGTAATTTATTGAAATGAACTGGTTCCTTAAGCATGATCCTTGTTAGAGGTTTCCTGGTGTGCCTCTTAAGGTGTACTTCAACAGCGTCGTCCAGTACAAGGTTCATGTACTCATCGAAACCTAGAACATAAAAGGGTTAAAGGTTCATGTATTCATTAAAATATAGTACATAACAGTTTCAAGGTTCATGTTCTCATCAAAACCTAGTACATAACAAAGTTACACGGTTTAAGTACTCATTGATATATAGTTCATAATAAGGTTACAAGGTTTATGTAAGCATTGAAATCTGGTACATAACATAGTTACACAGTTTATATTCTTATCAAAGCATAGTTCACAAGAGGGTTTCAAGGTTCATATCCTTATCCAAACCTAGTACATACAGTTCTTATCACAACCATGTAATGTACAAAGTACATACCTTTAAGTNAGCAGGGTCCAAAACTCGTTCTCTAGGAAATTACCAACGTCATTTTACATTAGTGAAAAATATCACCTCATAAATGAACAACAATTGTATACAGTGCAGGCCACGCTACGTAAAGACCGAAGACTTGAACGATGTATTTACGCAAATAACCCATTAAAGGAATACAAATTTACGGATGAGAGCAAATAATATACATCAAGGTTAACTAGGTTATGCAAAAGAACCCAAAATTTCATCTCTTACAAACGTTTTCATCTAAACTTGCAATTAGATTAGGCGCTTTCGCTGTTCAGAATTTATAAATAATTAAAAATTGTTGGCGGCATTCTGCATAAACCGGAATATAAAAGACGACTTTTATAATTTTTAATAATTTTTTTAGCCCCCCTCCCTCCCACTTCCCTGCTTTCTATGCATGATTAATTCCTCTCTTGTCCTAAATTTTTTATCTTTCATTTTCCATTTTAAATTTGAGAAACAAAAATTAAAAAGTTAGCTTTCTTTTACATCGGTTAGATTTGGCTGAATTTTCCAAACCAAATATATTCCAGCTACTCGATGTAAATTATGACGTCGCGTGACGTATTATTTTGATTCTTATTTTCAAGTTCAAGTTTGAAAATATAATTGACAGGGAGCCCTTTGAGGCTTCCATTTATTTTACGTTATTCTTCCACCTTACCTTTTCTGACGAAGGCCGATTTTTTGGATTCAAGCACGCCACCGCATCTCATAGATAAGAATTCATCTTTTGTATTTTTTCAGATTTCGATAAGGAGACATATAATAAAGATAGCTGGTTAATGCAACGTCAAATTTATTTAGGTAATTTGAATTCAAGTCCTTCGGGTCATTAATCTTTCAATTTCTCGATTTCTAAAAATAATTTGATTATAGCTGTTTTAGTAATAATAGTTTTAGATTTGTTTTTAAACTGACTGCATGGGGCTAATTTAAAAGAAACCGCTCATACATATTTTGGAATTTTGGTGAAAATTTAGAATTTGTTTGGCTTTTCACCATATTTGTCTGATTCTTCTGGAAATGAATATTTATGTTTATGTCTTTGGGTCCCGGTTCTGCCATCCTTGCAGTATATAATTTGTTGCAATATATTCTTATTTTCTGCAGGTTTCTGGTTCACAATTGTTCCAAACATCTAAGCAAGTTCTGATCATTAGCGGAGGCGGTTCCACCTTCCCCTCCCCATCCACCACCTTTCCCTCCCCTTCCACCACCTTCCCCACCACCCTCTCCTCCTCCTCCTCATCCTCATCCTTACTCCAACCTCTCACACTTCTTAATCCTCATAAAGTAGTAAGTCAGTTTCTCTTTAGCTTGGCATGTGATTCCCTATTCAAAACTGAAAAAAAATTATAGCTATATACAAAAACAAGAAAGTTCGAGTCATTTGAAATATAGAGGCCGTCCTCGAGATCGGAATCTTTCCGGAGCCATAACTATGGCTTTGGAGGTCTCACTCAGAACGCTCATATTCGGGTTCAGAAATATTTGTACAGAAAAATCTGCGACTTGACATGGAATGACCCGCATTACTTAGTCTGACTGGGAACTTTTGTGTTATATACTCTTATTCCCGATAGCTTGATCTAGATATCCACAGTGGGAAATTAAGATTTGAGAATCTTCAAAAACTGTAAGTTTCCAAATTTTTATTTTACCAAATATAAATTTTGTAAAGAAAGGGGTGAAAGATCCTGCGGTCACAGAGAGAATTTGGGCAGAAAACTGATCAATGCTCCCTTCAATCTCTGACTAGTTACGATTAGCAAACGGAATATCAAGTGAAGATTAGATGGATCTGGATCCAAGGAGTAAAATATCAACCAAAAACTGCAAAAAAGCTTTTTTACTCCAAAAACCCAAATCTGAACTTATGAAAAAAGAGAGATTATAAAAATTTCCTCATTTCTGAATGGTTCATCAAGTTTTAGGATTAAAACAAGCGAAAAAAATAAAACTAAAAATTATTTTTTGTTAAAAAAATTCAGTGAATCTTTCAAAAATGACCTGGATCCGGATCCATTTTTTCTAGCGCGGATCCAGGATCCGGATCTGGATCCGCATCAAAATTAAATGGATCCTAAGCACTGATATCCACAATACAAGAGTTCCCAGCTTTAGAGAATGAATAAATGGTGCGAAACTAGCAAGTTTTTCTGTTTTCTGTTTTCTGACCAAATTTGGTTAAACAACGTCAACAAATTCTGATAAAGAATTGATTAAATGTGTAAATTTTCACCTGAAAAGGACTGAACAAATTTTCAGAAGCCCTTCTATGAAAATAAGTTTTAAAAATGGAAAGTTGCTTGTCCGATTTACAAAGATACCTTTTAAATGTCGATCTTAGGAAACATCTTTAAAGTGTTAAATCTGTAAATTATGTTTTTCGTCTCTGCCGCAAAAAATCCACGAGTCAGTTTTATTAAGAAACCACATACAAAAATTAGGATATTTCCATCAATTTTACTCCGACAATGGTTTGAAGGGTACCGTCGAGAATCGGACATGTCCATCTTTTAAGTAAGGGTCTCTTGTAACTACGTCGACTGTCCCTTTAACCTTTGAGCTTCTCTATTTATCGAAATCTGATCCTTTAAAAATGGTGAATCATGAAATATGAGAGCCTTTCAATCATGATTAATGAAAATATATTTTTTGTTCTTGAGTTTAAACATTAAACATTGGGGAGGGGGGTGTGCGTGAAGAAGTCTAATAGTTTTCATTGTGCCTAAGCCTTTAAAAAGATGAGAGGTATACTTTATAAGATGCATTTCACAAAGGATAATTTCCAAACAATAAAGTCCTAAATAGCACTTTTAGAAATATACATTTCCCTATTAGGCATTTTTCCTCAATGTCGGTATGTAAAAAACATGTGTTGTCTTCGCACTTGATTTTGTTATCTTGTCAAAACTTATATATTATAATTTCTAAAACATGAAAGGTATTTTAAGGACGACAACCATTCCACAGTGTTTTTATTTCCATGTGGGGATGTAGGTTGAAAAAAAATAATGAAAAAAAAAAACATTTTTTATCTAATTATATAGGAACGTGAGGATGCAGTGAAGAGAAGAGAACTTCTGGCCCGCCAGCCTTCCTACTGTAAAATATTAAATGATCTTAAGGAAATTTTCAATATTTACAATTTATTTAGTTCAACATTTGCCTCAAAATATCCAAAAAAAAACTTTAAAAATTGGCGTCACAAAAAATGGCGCCATGTTTAAAATGGCGTCACAAAAAATGGCGCCATTTTTAAAAATGGCGTCACATAAATGGCGCCATGTTTAAAAATGGCGGGAAATTAAATTGTTTTAATCTTGTTTCATTCATAAATAAATTTTAGAATTTCACAGAATAAAAATAAATGATTTTGTTTTTAATCAAAAATGTTGAAAATTTAAGGAGACTGAATCGTCTGGTTCTGAAGACTCCCTAGACCATAAGAGTATAATCATGAAGGGGGAGAGCGTAGAACTCGTTGAGTCTAACTCAGCCTCACATGTAAACATATTTTTTTTTATATTTTCATACTCATCTTTTATTATTGATTTATCTTTATTATATTTATTGAATTGTGGGCGCGTGGGGCTTATTTTAAATTTAACATATTTTTTAAATTTCTGAAAATTATTATCGATATCAGCCGAACTTAATTTCCACAATAAAGACTTTAAATTTTGATTAGAATATGTTCTTCAGCAGCTAACTTGACTAAGGAATTAAATTAATCCATGGGACCACAAAAGATACAGATTAGGGCTTTCTCAATGGATTTAAAATAAAAAAATCAACCTTGATTTTTTTGTTTTTAATTATTGTTTGTTTAGGGTCAAACTGTTGTTATAAACGGGCAACAGTATCAGATAGTTTCACCTTCAGCCATGGACAGTGTTATCAGTTTGCACACAGGCTCAGGTGTGTTCACCCCCCCCCCCTTCATTTTAGGAAAAGGCTCAGAGTCAGGTGTTTTCACCCCCTTCCTCCCCTTTTCTCCTTTGAATAATCGCAGGTGTTTTCACCGTTCACTCCACCCCTCAATCTCTGTTATGGACAGTAGGGTACAGTGAAAATGGTATGAAACATATAAATATCATAAAATCGCTTCCTATCATCTTTTTTCTTATGTAAAATTTAATTCTAAGAACAGTTTAGAAAATGCGTTTTTTGATTGGAAGACATCTTGATTCCCAAATTTGGGCTTTTATGTACCGCATTTTTCATGAAATTTACGAAAATCCAGAAACTGTAACTAGCTACAGAAATTTCTTTTACCAAAAAATAACCACAAATACCACTTTAGTGAGTTCAAAACACCGGTTTCATATTCTTTTTGGTTTATTTTCATGGCAGAAATTGGCGCATTCTCAACTGAAACCAACCAAGGTCGGTTTTATTTTATATAGGGCCTAACTTCTTAAATCAAGCCAAAGATCTTGCAGCTGTCAACCATGTTATACAAGCTGTCTTCAGAATTGGGTCTTAAAGTTATGTTTAAGGAATTATGGCTCAAGCCAAAGTTTTTAAACCGCGGGCTCAGGCCGCTTGTCCAACAACAGCCTAAGCTGCATCAGTCACTTGTTGAACTAAAAATATAGTACTCTGTAAATGAATTTTATAATCTGGACCAACATTTGGCTTTTAAAGAATGTTTGTGAGTTCTTCATTGGAGAGACTACATGTAAATACTGGTTCATTGATGCCTCCACTGGTCAATGAAACAAGATCTTATAAGGTTGTGGCCTTGAGAATATAAAATCAGTTTTTTGAACTAAGCTCTTTGGAAAATAAGATGCTGCTTGAATCCGAAAGCCAAGCCGTAAATAATGCCCAACGACAGCTTAGACTTGAGCTGTATTTTCCCGAATTTTTTTAATTGCGGGCTCAGGAATGGATTCATTACATTTAGGCTCCAACATAGAGAGATAATGCCCAAGTTTAAAACATTCATAAGTCTAGGGCGGATTTTATTACGCACTATTGTAAAGACCAAGATATTCGAAAATTCGATCAAAATGTAGAACAAAACTGTGTTCATAATTCATTCGTTTCTGAACAAAATACATTTTGTATGGCTTCCGTCTCCACTAAAGTGGTATTTGTGGTTATATTTTGGTAAGAGAAATTTCTGTAGCTAGAAAATTGACAAAGTTACAGTTTCTGGATTTTCGTAAAATTCATGAAAAATGCGGTACATAAAAGCCCAAATTTGGGAATCAAGATGTCTTCCAATCAAAAAACGCCTTTTCTAAATTGTTCTTAAAATTGAATTTTACGAAAAAAATGATGATAGGAAACGAAATAAAGATTTATTTAATTTCACTGTACCCTAATGGACAGGTTTAGGTGGTTTCAAACCCGTCTACAGTCTAATGACAAGTTCAGATGGCCAATCCCATTCTTGATTTTAGCCTTATTATAAACTAGCTTGGGAACCCAGCGTTGCCCAGGATACCTTTAAATACAACCGCCGTTTACCCGCACTTGGTTGTAATTTACGATTTTAGCTATTTTTCCCGATAAAAGTCGACAAACTCAATTTAGAATCTTGAAACCAAGCTAAGAACTTTCCCGTGGCTCTCCCGATTTCCCCAATCAAAATTTGAGGCAAATCGATCCAGGCGTTCCTGAGTTATGATCGGACAAACAAACAAACAAACAGATAAACAGAGATTACAACTTTACATTTATAGATAAACAAAATAAATTCAAACCATTTTCAATTAAGGTGGTAACCAGTTTACAAGTTCAAATGGTGGGACGGTATTTCTCCCCTCCGCGACCTCTCCTGGACTCTCCGGGCCGGGCAGTTCGCCTGGTAGTCAGGTAGATATATTAGTTCGATTCGATAGACAATTTCTATCTATCTATCTTTCTATCTATATCTATCTATCTTTCTATCTATATCTATCTATCTTGCTATCTATATATATCTATCTATCTATATATCTGCCTATCTATCTATCTATTTATCTATCTATCTTTCCATCTATATCTATCTATCTTATCTATCTATCTATCTATATATCTATTTATTTATCTAAATATGTATCTGTCTCTCTGTCTGTAGGCTGAAGAGCAGGCTAGGAAGAGGGAGGTGAGGTTAATGAAGAACAGGGAGGCTGCCAGAGAGTGCAGGAACAAGAAGAAAGAGTACATTAAGGTCAGTTCAGTACAATTTGCTTGTACAGTACAATAAACTTGTATAGTACACTATGTTTATACAGAACAATAAGCTGGTACAGTACCATAAGCTTGTACAGTACAATAAGCTTGCACAGTACAATATGTTTGTACAGTACAATAAGCTAGTATAGTACAATAAGCTTGAACAGTACAATAAGCTTGCACAGTACAATAAGCTTGTACAGTACAATAAGCTTGTACAGTACAATAAGCTTGTACAATACAATAAGCTTGTATAGTACAATAATTTTTTACAGTAAAAAAAGCTTGTACAGTACAATAAGCTTGTATAGTACAATATGTTTGTACAGTACAATAAGCTTGTACAGTACAATAAGCTTGTACAGTACAATAAGCTTGTACAGTACAATAAGCTTGTACAGTACAATAAGCTAGTACATACAGTATAAGCAAAGGTTCTTGCCTTCTTACTATCATAATACTATCATAATTTTTGGAGGTTGCTGGAGGAAAATAAAGAAATTTTTGAGTAAAAATATCAAAACTAATATTCTTTGTTTAATTCCGGAAAAAATACAAGGATATCTCTTTAAATAACATTTTCCGGAAATAATTTTTCTCAAAACATGATATTCCGTAACTACTGCTGTCTCAAATCAATATTTCTTGAAACAAAACTTTCCGAAACCGATGATTTTCTAAAAAAAAAATTTATTATAAACTTATGAATTCTCGAATCATTAATTTTGTAATTGATTAGATCTCTTTAAACAATATTATCCGGATATATTGCCTAAAACATTATTGGATATTTATTTTCAATTCGAAAAATGTTTATCGAAAACAAAACTTAGATCTGGATACAATTTTTTCTTCTAACATTTTTTAAATTTAATGTTTTGTTTAGTGTCTGGAGAACCGAGTAGCTGTACTAGAGAACCAGAATAAAGCTTTAATAGAAGAATTAAAGTCTTTAAAAGAACTTTATAAGTCACAAAACTGAACAGTTATACTACACACATCTCCCTTCCACATGCTCTAGTTGTATATTAATGTCAATTTCTAGGGAGGATTCATTTTTTTATATATTCACAAGAAAACCATAATGATGATTTATATGTAAACCCACATTCAATCTATAAAATTATTTTGGTTATTATGGTACTTTTTCTTTTTTAATCTAACAAAACAAATTGCCTTTCCTTATAAGGATTTTGTTTTTTGCATGTATTTTTTTTAAAGGCAGAGTCCTTACTTCTTGCACAAAGTTTGCCCAAACCTCACCTTTTGATTAAAAAATCTAAATTAAGAAATATAATTATTTTGATGAATTGAATATATATATATATATATTTATATATATTGAAGAGTGTACGAGCTGCTCTGCTACCTGATATTTGAATTAGACACAAGTCAGATATTTTTCCTGTTTTTTCCGGAAACTATTTAATTTAACAAACTTATTATTTGACACTGTAAACATGTTTTCACATCTTTGCTGTACCCTTTATAAATGCACTCGATTACTGTGCTATTTAGCTGTACTGGATTTTTACAGTACAGTTTAGATGTACTATGCAGTTTACTGTTGTTGTACTGTACGGTAAAGATGTAATCAGGGTAGTTTTACTGTACATTTGATATACTGTACACTGTAGTTATACTGTATACTGTAATTATACTTTACATTTTAATTATACTTACATATTAATTATACTTTACATTGTAATTATACTTACATTGTAATTATACTTACATTGTAATTATACTTTTCATTGTATTATATTTACACTGTACATTAATTTTTTATGTACAGTGTAGTTACAGTATACACTGTTTTTTTGTCTACTGCCTAGTGCACTTTGTAGCGTTATGCTTCTGTGTAGCTGAAATTTAGATATATTCTGCAGTTGTAGCTGTACTGTACTGTACAGTGTAACTGTACTGTACAGTGTAGATATACTCTGCAGTGTACCTGTACTGTACAGTGTAGATATACTCTGCAGTTGTAGCTGTACTGTACTCTGCAGTTTAGCTGTACTGTACAGTTTAGATATACTCTGCAGTGTAGCTGTACTGTACTCTGCAGTGTAGCTGTACTGTACAGTGTAGATATACTCTGCAGTGTAGCTGTGCTGTACTCGCAGTGTAGATATACTCTACAGTGTAGCTGTACTGTACAGTATAGATATACTCTGCAGTGTAGCTGTACTGTACAGTGTAGATATACTCTGCAGTGTAGCTGTACTGTACAGACTCAACTTCTTATTGCAAAGTGTACACTTTCATGGAACACAAATTTACAGTACAGTGCATATTCTATAGCGACTGCGTACATTATGCATTGTACAGTGTACAATTACACGTATTGTACAAGTTCGCTGCATGAACGCTACAATATGTATACAATATTTAAAACATGGTACATTGTGCAATGTACATTCTTACTTCCCATTGTTCATACATGCTGTATCTATACAACATTTGTTACTGTATAGTGCAAAGTGTACACTCGTAACAGTTAAATCTTAGTTTACATACTAACTGTTCAGTGTGAAGTGTAACTAACTCCAGTTAACTATTTTGGATAAATTCTACATTTTTTGTTGTTGTACACTGTACACAATCAAACAACCCATACAGTTCAGTACATATAGTACATAAATAAAACATATATATAAACCTGTTCAAAGTATGAGTATTATAGACAATACTAATGATCAGATCATGAAAAATGTTCTTTCATACTTTCACAAATTCCTAAACTTAGTTTTTTTTTATTTTCATTTAAAATTTCTGTTCAAGTTTTAAACAACTTCAGAACTAAATGTCGTACAAGCTAGTCTGTTTTTTTGGCACAAAATTAAAAATTATAAATGTTATTTGGGCATTGTCCTCGTCCCCCCCCCCCTCTGTACAGTAAAATGTACTGCAGTTCTGTTTTCGTATATAATATGCACATCTTGTAATTTGTTGTAACTTATCTTGTACTCTTTATGTACAACGTACATTTTACTGAAATTATTCTAAAAGGGACTGTAGTTGTAACTTCAAGTGAATTTCCATTTATATTGGAATATGCCCGATTCATAACGATACCCTTTAAACTAGTGCTTAGGATCCGGAATATTTAAAGATTTAATGTGTATCGGATCCGGATCCGAAATATTTAAAGTTTATACATGTATCGGATCCAGATCCGGAAAATTTAAAGTTTATACGTGTATCGGATCCGGATCCAGAATATCTAAAGTTTATGCGTGTATCGGATCCGGATCCGGAATATCTAAAGTTCATACGTGTATCGGATTCGGATCCGGAATATTTAAAGTTTATACGTGTATCAGATCCGGATCCGGAATATCTAAAGTTTATACGTGTATCGGATCCGGATCCGGAATATCTAAAGTTTATACGTGTATCGGATCCGGATCCGGAATATCTAAAGTTTATACGTGTATCGGATCCGGATCCGGAATATCTAAAGTTTATACGTGTATCGGATCCGGAATATCTAAAGTTTATACGTGTATCGGATCCGGAATATCTAAAGTTTATACGTGTATCGGATCCGGATCCGGAATATCTAAAGTTTATACGTGTATCGGATCAATGTGGAAGATATTTTCGGTTTAAAGTGTTTTCAGTTTAAAAAATATCTCAAGACATTAAGAACCCACAGTTGTTAAAATTATGGATATATGTTTCTTGATCAGACAAAGTGGGGAATCGGAAACGTCTCTTTGACATGGAGGATCATTTATCATTACGTCTACAGTCCCTTTAAATGAACTAATCAATTTATAGTTAAATTTTTAAATGTGTAAATGTAAATTTTGAATAAAAATGGTTCTCAGTTCCACCTCTGAATGTCTGAAAATAATGTATTGATTTATTGAAAGGAGAAATAAATAATATTGATCTGTAGTTTTGTAAGTTTATAGTGATGGGTCAAACTCCGCTGCACGGTTAATTGAGGTTAGATCCACGATTGTTTTTGTAAAACTATCATCTGAATGTAACGAATATTTTTTTAATATCAGTACCTGACAGTGAAAAGGTATAATCACGTGAGGTTGCTAAGAAACACTATAAGGGGGGGGGGGACCGATGTGGAACGGACAGACAACTTTAACTTTAAAACGAGTTGATTGAGAGGATTTAAAATGAATAAGAATTTTACAAATTTTGTTAAATCTACTGAAAGAATTTTAAACATCTGAAAAATAGTGTTTGGGTTTGCAACTAAAGAAAACTTTACCGCAAATATGCTTGAGAATTCCGCAAATGTGCTTGAGAATTCCGCAAATATGCTTGAGAATTCCGCAAATATGCTTGAGAATTCCGCAAACTTTTGCGTGGAATTCTGCAAGCGCAAATGAATCGCTATTCCGTGCAAAAACTGCCACTTGGGCATTATATCGTGCAAAAAAATAATGCTTATCTCTGTTAACAATCCATCCAATTTTAGAATTTTATAAATGATTTATTTTCCTTCAACCCCATCCTATTAAATTTATTTTAAAATAATTATAATACTAGTAACTAGTGTTTAACACCATGATCATTTAGAAAACTGCATTGATATGAAAACTTACTTTTTGATGAATAAGACGTGTGAAATGATCATTGTTTCTAGACCCAATTTCTAAAATAATCTTTCTTAAGTCTATGTCCACCAAATTTTTTTCCTTCGATTAGTTTTTGCTTGAAATTTGAACCAATTTTTCTCTCGCAATTTGGGCATTTTTTTCGCAGAATTTGGGATTTTTTCCTTTTCGCGGAATAGTTTACTCATTTTTGGCGGTCTTCCGCGAAGAACACTGGCAAAATAAATTTTATTTTGTTAAACGTTTTTTTTGTAGATTAAGGTGTTAAAGTTTCATGGCAATTGCCATATTTTGCAGGTATTAATGAACTATTCGACTTTTTTTTCGGGTATGATATGGGATAAAATACAAAATTTCACTTGCAATTGATTTCTCATTCTTAAAGAGATTTGGATTTATTGGCTTGGAATTCTCTTGTTCCAAAAGTATGCAAAAAAAGAGTTTAAGTTTCGCGGAAAAAGGTAATGTGAAAATACTGAATGTAATATGTTATTTGTTATGTATGTTCAATGCTCAAGCCACTAGATACTGATATTTTATTGCAACCTTAAGAAAATTATAAATGATTACTTTATGATTTCTATCATTTCTTAATGAAAATTAATTAAATCATGGTGTATCTTTCGACCTCCGCAAATCCACTATACTCCACTTCTGACCTACGCCAATTCCACTATACTACACATCCGACCTACTAGAAAGTGGTTTTACAATTGCTATATGGACTTGTGGCCGCAGCGCCCGGCTCCCTAGCCGCAGCACTCGGCCCAGAGATTGTCTTAATCTAACCTAACCATCAAATATTACAAAAATAAACAGCTGGCGTTAGTCCGATATTGTAGTAGGTCAGTAGGGGGGATGTTGCGTATAGACGATGTAACATTACCCTATCAACCACTTCAGTCATATATGCGACCCTGAAAAAACAGTTTTAAGCAAATAGATTATCAAGTATAACTTGATAATCTCTTTGGCTTTAAGTTTTCCTGATGCAGTAGTTTTACAATTATCTGTTGTATATACTTAAGTTTTTATATCTATTATAGTCATTACTGCAAAAAAATATATAATTTTATTTAAATTTGAATCTATCCTTTTACTCTCTCTCTGCATGGCGATGAATGTATATTGCAAAATGTTATCAATCAATGTAATTTATTTCTCGTGCATTTCTGATTTATGTTTTGGAACTTTATGGTTTTTCTTATTTCTTTTAATAGTTTCTATATCTGTCATGACGGCCATTAATCTTCAGTTCCTCACCAGGGGCTTCACAGGACTTTGCTCAGGGGGGTGGGGCTCAACACCTCTGTATCAATTACTTGTAATTGATACAGATACATGTTCATTTTATTGTAACTTAAATTAATTATTGGATTTAAAATTTTGTCTTTTGGATCTAAACAAAAATTTGATTTAATGCAGCAACTTCTTGTTGGTAGTTCTGAATAAAATGGAAAAGGAATATAGAAAACTGAGTTAGTTTAGAGTGTTAAATATCACTCTATGAGACATCTATATATACTTTGCTTGTCTGTAAGGGTGTTTGTATCCCATAAATTTAAAATTCAGTGATGGTGATGGACCAAACCTCTGTAGAGTAAAAAAGTAGATGTTAGTTCCACATTTATTGAAAATATATTTCGGTCAGGATTGACCCTCGTCAGTTCTAACGATATAATAACCATCAAAATCGATGAAAAAAAAATTTTTAAATGTAA